CGGAGCCCTCCCCGAGGCCAAGCCGCCCGTACTCAGCCCGGCCCAGGCTGTATGCTTTTCCTGTGGGAGGAGGGAGAACAGCGAGAAGTGGGGGTGCTCCAGGCAAAGGGAGATGGGCCAGGTGATCCCGTGTCCCAGGCTGGCCAGGTCTGCAGGGTCTCTGTCCCATTCGGGGGAAGAGCCTCCACACCAGCCCCTGCTGAGCTCACACTGAACACCAGGATGCTGGGGTCAGTGGTGACCCCAGGGGCCTACCTCTGTCCCAACCACGGAGCGGACCCTGGCTCCAAGGACCGTAGTCTCTGGGGGACACCCCCAAGCCCAACTTAGAGAAGGACCCTGACCTTCCGAATCCAGGCAGACTGTGTGGTGCTGGCCGCCAGAGAAGCCCACCCAGGACTTGGTGGAGTTCTTGAAGGACGTCAGGTTCTGAGGCGTGAAGCAGGAGTCCGTGCCTGGGGTTCCTGAGAAGGCCAGCAAGGGCTGTCAGGGACGAAGTACTCTAGGGGTGCCCTCTCACCCCAGCTGGAACATGGGGCTCTCAGAGGACACGGGGCGGACAGGGGAGAGCCGGGGCTGGTTCCTGGTCTGGTCGTGCCCGAGGCCGAGCCAGGACTCACCAAGCTGGTGGTAATTGGAGAGGCCGAAGCCATACACGTGGCCTTCGCGGGAGATGGCAAAGGTGAAATAGGCACCGCAGAAGGCGTCCTGGAACCGCACGGGGCCCTGGCTGCCCCTGGATCTCAGAATCACACACTTGGGGACCAGGAGCCCCTCAGCAGGCAGAGAGGGACCAGCCGGTGGCAGACACGCTTGTGAGGCCTGCTCTCCGCCAGTCTGTCCCCACCCACTGCAAGAGGCCTGAGAGCGGGCTGAAGCAGGACTCCCACGCCCGACAGAGGCCGGACTCCCGGTGACTAGAGGTGCCTTTTACACAGCACTTCCACGTGCCAGGCGTTCTGAGGGACCGTTTAACTTCACAGCGTGCAGGAAGTAGGTTTGCAGAGCAGGAAGGCAGGGCCAGGGTCCACAGCCAGCCGGTGGCAGGGCCCGGATTCACACCCAGGGCAGATGAAGGGTTTTGCTCC